TCATCCCTAGACCTGCTTCTGTCCGCACGCGTAGCCAAATGGCCTGCCCGTCTTGACACTCACTTGCTGAGGTGTCCAGGACTCTAAAATTCTACTTAGGCCCCATTGTTTTGAATATCGAATTCATTTTGGTCCTTTTTAATTACAAAAAGGCCCTAAAATTTTAATTTTCTTTCATTTAGGTCCCTAAAGATTTATTTTATATTCTTTTAAAGAGCTTAAACTTTATTTTTATATTTTTATCGGGTTTATTTCTATTTTTATATATTTTAATATTTTTAGTTTCTTTTTAATTTATTTTTCATTTCTAATTTATTCTTTTAGTTTTAATAAATTAAATACTGCTTAGAAACATCGGGATACTACATATATAATCTTTATGGTTTTAGTTACTTATATGTACAACAGCATGCAGTTTATAATATATCATAATTTTCTTAAGGGTTGGAATCAATAATGGATGATAGATTGTTTCCTTCTAATTGGTTTTTGACATGGCAATGCCTACTTCTTTTTTTCTCAATCTACATTACAGTTGTCGGATGTATTGTTTGACGGTACTTCTCATTGTGCTTGTAATGGTTAATTACTATTGATAAATTCTATTCATTTAAAAAAATATTTATCTTAAAAGCTAATATGGAGTGTCAAGAAAAATGTATATATGTTAGTACCAAACTAGTATTATTTTTTTATTGGAAGAGAGACAACACCTTTTATATATTATTGCATAAAATTGGCAAGAAATATATCTTTGATTTCTTTAAGAATTTGTTTGCTATTACAAAAATCAATACAAAAGTATTCGTATATATTATTTTTATTATTATATTTTTAAAATTAAATCATAATAATTATTCCTTAACAATATGATTAGTATTCCTCTCTTTATAAGAGATTTTGGATTCACATTGTGTATTCTCATATATTATCTTTAGGAGATCATGTCAATTAACTGAATGTATAAATTGTCACTAAAAATATTTAAAGTCTAAATTTTATTTTTATTTTTTAGAATTAATATTGTTTTTAAAAAGTAAGGTAACTTTTATCAATAACAAGTAGATTTGCAAAACTAACCATAAGGTATGCGTATATGTCAATCCAACCACTAGCATCATCTAAAATACATGAGACCTTAAAGTATAAAATAAGAACATCATATAAAAAATGGTATAAACAACTATTACATAGTCTAAACACTACATTACACAGCTAAAATAAGTTCTTATATGTGTAGGTGTGATCATAAAACAACTTATAGATTGTGAGAAGTGGAGCAAGCTTTATGTTGTGATTGCATGTCCATAAGCCCCAACATTTTCTATATTCTTTTGGCTATATATGCACTAAAAAGAAAAGAAAAAAAAAATTAAAAGTGCACATATTGTTGGGACTAAAACAAAGACTACAAGTTTTTATGATTGAAATGCAAACTATATTAACTGGAAGAATATATTGAAAATTTACCAAAAACAATATCAATATTTTATATGATAAAAACAGGATGCTTAGTACAAAGGATGTGTGGCCCAATTATGTGCAATTCTAACCACCTAATTATAGGCAATATCAATCTTCCATTTCACTGCCATGTTTTACCATCTTAAGACAATTAATTTTAAATTTCTTTTTTTTTTCTCTCTTTTTTTAAAGTAACCCTCTACATACAGTGAAAATTAATTAAATATTCTAGCAATCTCCCCGTCCAGTTTATTTTTTTAACACACTTACACATATAAGATATAGTAGATATATACATGCATTATAATGAAGCATTACCTTTTAATTAAAAGAGACCGTCAAGATTGAATGATTTTATTTAAGTACAGTGTTGCAACAACTCATTAATTAAATTTTATGAATTATATTACCTTTAATCACAAGATTTTTTTCATATCTCCTATTAAAAACACATTTCTAGAGATTATCTGGGCACTTCACTTGAAATTTTAATCTAACCTTACATTAGTATATTCAATGTTCCATTCCCTATCCCTTTCTAATAACTCTTCAATCATTGTCTTATTCTATATATACACCTTCTTGTTCCTTGGCCAGACATAACCAAACACCATGACTGTACAAAATGTTAAGCTCGCCTATATCACTAACGACTCTACTAGAAAAGTCACTTTCAAGAAAAGGAAGAAGGGGCTAATGAAGAAAGTGAATGAACTCAGCATTCTCTATGAAGTCAAAGCATGTGCAATAATTTATAGCCCCTACAACTGACAACCAAAGGTTTGACCTTCCCTTCTTAGAGCCCAACGTGTGCTACCCGACTTTAAAAAGATTCCTAAGATGGAACAGAGCAAGAAGATGGTGAATCAAGAGAGCTTATTATACCAGAGGATCACCAAGGAACCGACCAACTAAAAAAGTCATGCAAGGACAATAGGGAGCAGGAGATCACGTAGGACATGTTCCAAAGCCTTATTGGGAAGCCCCTCCACTAACTGAATCTCATTGATCTCAACGATTTGGGTTGGCTCATCGAAATAAAATTCAAGAAAATATGAAAAAAGGATGAAAACACTCAGTAAGTCACCCTAACCCAAAGGGCTACAAATGGAGGAGCGAAGAGGCAATTTGCTTAGTGTTTCCATCAATTTTTTAGATTTCCTTAAGATGTTGTATGATGAATCATCCTAGAT